AGACAAAAACCTAAAACTAAGTACTAAATAACATTATTTATTAATTATTACTATGTTCCATCACAGTCTTCTCAAATTAACTCGAGCAGACAAATTTTGTGTTAGAGTGTCGGGCAAAGTATGTTTACACCTAAAGCTCGTGTACGCCTTATCTAAATATACACCCAGGTATTGATCTGTAATCAATACCTATAACGTTAACTCATGATGTCAATTTTCCATACATTTCTTATAATTATTTATTTATTTATCTTCAAAGTCTTGAATTTTTTTTTCCAATCATTTAAATGAATCAGTCATTAATTTCATATAGCAATTATACTTGATGAATACTAACGTCGTTAAAGCGTCTTCTCTCCCGCACATTGGATACTCCGTTTGCTAAGGACGTGCAATATTAACTAAAATGAGAAGGGAGTCTCTGCCACCCAGATTAGGTACTAAAGATAAGGTGGATTGACTTCCTCTCTTTAACCATTGCGGTATAGATTATACGAATAAAAATTTAAAAGAAATTCTAATGGCTGTTGATTGTTCATTGAAAAGCGCATTCGTTTCGTCAAGGTACATAATCCAAATCGATTTCACTATTAAACATAATGCAAAAATACTAATTAACTTAAAAATGCAAATAATAAAATAACTTAAACTAGGTTTATAAATTACCATAGAAACCTCCAAAATGAAATGTTGACTCTGACAACCACACCATCGGTAGCATCGTGACAATAATGTAATTAATACACAGAATATATGAACCAAGAATCTAACTACCAATGTTAGTGACCAAATAAACCGAATTAGAAAACCGTTGCTTTAAGAAGTATTAAAATTTATTTTTATTTCGAGTTAATCGAAGACTGTCGGGAAATTATTATTGTCTATAAATCCTTATATCTTATAGAAATTTCTCAGTTGGTTTCAGGTTTTACCCAAAAGATACAATAAAATATACGTCTCTTCATATATGTGTAGATAAATTTATTATGAAGGTCGTACGGAGATACGATATACTGTACACATCGATGCACTGCGCAATAAAAAACTGAAATCGATTTGATACGATAACCATAATTATAGATGTACTTTGGCAATATTATGTGCGGTGTCTGAAATTCTAATCGAAGTAGCCAAATAAAATATTTCTCGAACATTTCCAAATTGAGCACGCACCCATCTTACAAAGTGTAAATTATTACGTACATTGATAAATATTTGATATCAGATTTGACCGCAAAGAATGACCACGGAAAAAAAAATACGTGAACTTTCTTCCTCAAAATGATTTGGTTAGAATTCTTAAACGTTCAATAAGCATACATATAATTGATTATATTTTTTTAGGTTTTTATAACAAGCTAATATAAATATATACATTTTCCATACATACATACATAGATATACATACATTTTGTATTCCAAGAATGTTTTAAAAAAAAATTAAATAATGAATCATTATCTTAAGAATAATTACACGTGGACTTAGCGTTATATATTATTACATTATAAATTGGTATTGTTTTGATTTGAAAATTAACGTTGCTATTAGTCAAGTATTCGAATAAAATAAAAATGTGTCAATAGGAAGTACTAGGATCGATGTCGTATAGTACTGCAGTCATATTTTTGTCACAATACTTGGCTAAATCATCTTTTGGTAAAACGAATAAACGAATCCCGGTACAACGAAAACACATCGGTGTAAGGAAGTGAAGCGTAGGATAGCATCTGTGTTCCTAAGTTTGACTGGCGTTTACGCAAGACCATAGGCGCAACTAGAGGGGCACTGTAGGGTTTTTGGCACGACTGAGTTAAAATGTAGCGGTCCTATTTATTTTTTCAGATCTACATAATCTATAGTAATTACAGTTAAACACATTTTCAACAATTCCGACACCCCCAATATTTGGGCCCTAGTTGCGCCCGTTCGCAAGACAATGTTCACGCGTGATGTGCATTTCAAATACGATTGAACGAGCATTGGATTCAGGTGCGATATCCATCGTCCATGAACATTTAGCGAATACTTACGTAGCACGGATCCGTTGACGTAAGTGCCGTTTTCGTAAACAACAACAACGGGTGGCTGTAAGTTGAATCTCTTATTGACGTAAATTACGTCCCTGGTATTATTTTCCACTCTCTACGTGCACTTGTATAGAACGATTATTGGTAAACTAATATGTGTTCGTTGTACGTAACGTTACTACAGTAAAATTTAGCAGATGGAGAGCCGGATATATTCTTTTGATACGAGTCATTATTACCGTCCAGCCTTCAATAAATACATTATAAATGTTAATTTTACGGATTTTCCGTCGGACGTAATTAACGAAAATATGACAGAAATATCGGGCCGCAAGTTACGTATATTGCAATCGGAACCTTTTTTTTTGCAACGGTAGGAAACGGAATGGAAGTCGAATACGAAACAAAGGACGAAGTGTTCGATAAGCAATTCAATGAGTATGACGCCAGCTAATCGTGGCAAGCCTATTAGGACAGAGTCAATTAACCGTATACAGGCGTGGGCAGTGGATAAACATCTGTAGTGGTATGCCCTTTCCGGACTTGGCATATATTTCACACGCTGTCCGCTCCGCACAGTTTGCCGATTCCCACCCGCCACGCGGTTAATTCTTGCGCTGTCGATTCGAGAACTTTACCCACCCACGCAACCGATAGCACGTGATACGAAGCTACTGCGTGGATATATCGCGCACCCCTAGAAAACAAACGGCATAACTCGAAAAACGTCGATTTCGGGTTGTCACCACTGCTGAAACCACTGAATAAATATCTACTATTTGCGCTCATCTCTTTTTTTCTATCTTGTTTTTAGATTAATTCAAAGTAGAATGTGATAAAAATGCAAAATATATTTGTTTTTCTTTTTAAGATTCTTTATTATTAAAGTTGATTTATTTTTTTTCTTGGTGTCGAGTATTAGGGAATTCCTTGAACTCCTATGAAAATAGAAACAATGATTGATGACAACTAATTAAAAAAAAAAAAAGTCAAAATATCGCAAAAAATTGTATTGTCAGGCGGTTTTGAAAACTCCCAAAAATCTTTAGTAGCATTTTCTCAATTATTACTATTTCTGAGTTATACCGTTTGTATTTTAGGGGTACGAAATGATGCCGTTAACGCGTCAGCCTTCGGAAGAGACTTAATGAAAAAGGTAAAACGCATCGCACCGATACGGGTACACGGAGACCGCGTTCTTCTCCTCTAACAGCTCCGCCACCCCACCGTTCCAAAAACATATCATACGAAATAAATTCCGATCAAACGCAGGTTTTAAATCACGCGTGCGTACAATAAAATCAAACCTTCTACTTTTTGTGTACGCCGACGGATTTATTCGCATAGCAATTTTTCTAAAAGCTTTTTGCCGCAACACGCAATGCTCGTAATAAAAGCATACTTGTAGTTAAAAAAAAAAAAAAAAAAAAAGAACTAATATGTTTTATTCGCTTTTCAGAACAAACCTTATACGCGTGCGTAGCATACAGTAAGTAGCCAAAACCAATGGCTTTTTTTAAGATATATATAAATATACTATGATGTTTCAATTTAGTCAAAACGAAATTTTTCATGTGAAGTCGTAAAGAAAAGTTCAAAATTGTGTTAATAACTATAATAACTATAATACAATAACTATCGTTTTTTAATAATATCTGTACGTCCACTGAGAATATTTCGAACACATTTCTATTATTAACAATGTATTTGTACGAATAAAAAAAAAGCTCAACATTTCATATTTTCTCTTATGTTTTGTTAAATGTCTTAATTTAAACGCGGTATAAAGTAATTTGTTTTAGTTTAAGGCGAATATTATTTTGTGGTATTCAATTGTTGACACTTATTACCGTTATTAGTTAATAATATTTATTGATTCACATTCAATTCTGTTGAAATTAATTTATGAACTATAAAATAGTATTGTAAGTTTAATATTTAAAATTATAATAGAAAAATAATTGAGTTTGAACGTATACGAAGATAATTGTAAATATTCTCAGTTAAATATATTTTTCAATTTATAGTTGATCTACTTTTATAACGTGGGTTGTATATCGAAGTTGCAAGATAAATTTAATATCATGTTCTAACTTGAAACAAGAGACGGCAGTAAACCAATTTTATTTTGTCCATTTCGATTTTCTCACTTAAATTTGTTTACACACCTTAAATGCGGTGGGCAAGTCGAAAAATGACGAAAAACATTATTGGTTGCAATATTTGTCTAGCGCGAGAATTGATTATACTAAAAATATTTGGTTTTCAATTTTTTGGCATACAATGCACATCACTAATTATATTTTTATTGATATATTCATGTAGGAGGTGGGTACTTGAAAATTCATTCAAACCAAAAACTTGAATTTATAAATCTAAAGTAACGGCTGAAGTAAGTTTTAATATGTACACTCTATGTAATATATACAATATGTATTCTTAATTTATAATAGCACTTCACAAAAATATTACGTTCAGAAACTTTAAAAAACCTTTTGCTAATATTTTATGGGCGTGCATAACGTTAACTTTGCTTTACATTTTGATATCGAGCTGCGAAAAAGGTTGACGAATCAGATTAAATTAAATTAATAAGTTTCATTTATTAATGAACTCGTATAGTATACGAGAGGATATGGTTTACGACGTATATCATATCCTCACGTTAAACAGTAATAATTGTAAAGTTTCACAACATTTGAATGATAAAGTTTTTCGACATTTTAATTAAATTATTCAGCCATTCCGAGTTAGTATTATTCCGTGGATTGAATGTATATTTGTAACACGGTACATATTAAATTATTTACTATTTATTCTATGCGATGACTTTCACGTATGTATAGATACACCGAATTAATCCGAATCGAGTTTAATTTTTTTGATTCATACACTGTGATGTAATAAACAACGTATTGATGTCTAATAATAATTAGTATAATATTTTTATTTATTTTTTTTTTTTTTTTGGTTTACTCTAGGCCATTTAGGCCCATTGCCGCTTCGACTATCTCCCTCCATGATTCTTTATGTTCTGCCAGTTCTTCTCCATTCATGACTCCCAGCATCCTAATGTCTTCCTTAACTCGGTCCACCCAACGTTGTCTAGGCCTTCCTCTTGGTCTACTTTTGTTCGGTTTCCATTTCGTGATGGTCCATAGAAGTTGGTCTTTTGCTCTCCATACGTGTCCGGCCCATCTTATTCTTCGGCTCTTGAGTGTGGCAACTATATTGGGTTCGTTATATAAAGCGTTCAGTTCTCTATTTGATCTTATATCATAGATACCTTCTTCATTTCTTTTTGGACCAAATATTTACGTAAAATTTTTCTTTCGAAGATCATTAATTTGTTTTCGTCTGATTTGGTAGATGCCCATGCTCCGCAGGCGTATAGTACAATTGGTCTAACGAGGGTCTTATAAAGTCTTATTTTCGTTCTTCTTGATAGTTTTTTGGATTTAAATAATTGGAATAATGAGTAGTAGCATTTGTTGCCAGCTAAGATTCTCCTGTGTATTTCTTCGTGGCTATCTGCCTGTGAATTTATGTCTACTCCTAAGTACTTAAAGTTCCAAACTCTTTCAAATGACATGTCTTTTATTGTTATAGCACTTTGTGGAGGTTCTCTCCTAGATATGATCATAAATTTGGTTTTATTATCATTAATAATAAGCCCAATCTTTCCCGCTTCCTCACTCAACATTTCGGTTGTTCTCTTTAGGCTGTCCTCTGTAAAAGGCGAACCTTTTTTAGTTCAAATGCCAAATTTTTTCTTTTTAGGTTTTGAAAATCGTTCACGTGCCCGAAGAAAATTATATTTTCTAAGACTATATATAAAATTAGATTTATTACATTGTTTTTAACAAATTTTAGTCATTATTAGTAGAAACATAAGCAGAAATGGTTTCATTGGTCAAAACGTTTCTTCTCTTCGATTTAATTAAATTTGTTATGGCGAATAAGCTTTCACAAACATAAGTTGACGAAAAATATGAAAGCATAAGGAATATTGTCATTTTTAAAAAGTATATAGTTGGTTTATTTTAATTTCTTATTACCAACATTTTATAAATAGTATATTTTTTTTTTTACAATTTTTAATAATTTCAATTTTTTGCACGTGCCATTTTTGGCACCCGTTCCATAGTTTCACCACCCCTGATATATATAGAAATATGGGGTATTTCCAAGAAACGCTAGAAAATTGCCGATAAATTTTACGATTATTAATTTTATTTATAGACAAATATTTATATTGTTTACAGCAAAAAATATGGTCACACTATTGCCTACGCAGTATGTTGATGTACTTACATTTTATATTCAGTATTCAGTGTACTTATAAACATAATTTTAAAATGCATATTTTGGGTATACTTAAAGGTTAAAAATCAGGGTAGGCCTGGGCCTACCAGGCCTACCCACTGAACACGCCTTTGCTGGTGCATTATCGTGATGCAAAGCAGTTTTTGAACAAATTTGGCTGCAACTCTTCTCGTGGCTAAATCAGTCGTCAATATGGTTTGAACTGATCCAAATGCGATTTTAAACTCATTAATAAGTTCCATGATTATCAAACGACGGTTACCTCGTATTGCTGTTCGTATTTTTTGGATCATTTCCTCATTGCGGTTTGTTAACGGGCGTCCTTCACGTTCATCACTTTCAACAGTTGTTCAACCCTCTTCAAATATTTTAAACCATTCAAAAACGTAAACACGAGACATGGTTTCATCTCCATAAGCTAACAATAACATTTGTTAGGTTTCAGTAGCTGATTTTCCCAGTGTACGGCAAAATTTAATGCACACTCATTGTTCTATATTTTCGCTCATAATGAAACCCGACAGGACATAAAAACACACTTTAATTAATAGCACCTAAAAGCCGACTGAAACAATTTTTTATCTAATGTCTAATATATCTATGTCTATTATATTTTCCCAACATATAGTTACATTAATATAGCACTTGCAAGTTCATACTCAAACCGGTTTACGATTTATCTTATCAGTCTCGATACTTTTTGATTAAACCTCGTGTATGTATATATATATATATATATATATCGATCGAAAAACATTTTCCAAAAATAAGGCGTAGTTGAATTTCATTATTTTACGTAAACAAATGGTGGGCGCTCACTTTTAATATCGAAACGTCGCGTTTACAATGCTATTACGTGAAATAATTTTAAAATTAATTGGCCAGATATTTCAATGTAATACGTTATGATTCTACATTTTAATTAATCAAACGGAATCAAGTTTTTCCTTCCTAAACCATATTTACAAAACGCTACAGAGGGTTTTACAGTTTTTATTTTCTCCGTTCCGAAATTATTATACCGTTTGATCGGCGTTTGTATTTATGAGTTATAAATTACCTAGTTGCTTGGGCTCTGTCCAAAGAAAACGAAAACGCCCTCAGCCACCGTCTGGTTCGTCGTGGAACTTATGAATTTCAACACTTGATTAATGGTACAAATTAACGTGCCTACGACAAATCGTTTTTCCGACCGACGTAGCTTGGGTTTCGAATAATTACCTAATTAATAACCATTAAAAGAAAAAAAAGAAAATCATTACCATAAAATTTTCCAACGTCGGTCAAAGGTGTTGTGTTCTTGAACGTTATGGTATTCGTATAATATATCTTTACATTTGTAAATACTTTGTTCGTTTAAAATGTACATTTGATTCTATCGATAGTTCGCGAATGTGTCCCGTACAATGGCGGTTACCGAGTGATTCACGTAACCAATACCATCGCCGAGGGAGTTTCAGACGTCATCGTAACGCAAATACGAGTGGGTATTAAATCCATATTTTTATTATACGTGCACACCGTAACAACCGAATTCTATTTACGTTAATAAACATGATGTGTATGTGTGCGCACGTGTATGTGTGTGTGTGCTCGGAGTAAAGGGCGAGACGACTACAAGTAAAAGCAATGGGAGCTTGTGAACGCAACAGATATAAGTAAACAAAAATAATATTCGGTCGATGGTCAATATTTTGACAAATCACAAATATAAAACGTGTCGCAACGGTCTAAGCTGTTCGTTACACTATGGAATTTGACTCAGGTACTGCGGAGTATATTCACAAACATTTTACGACGTCCTCAAAAGTTATCGAATTTAAAGAGAAGCTAACCGACAAGGAACGTTTTTAATCCGACACGATAAAAACCTAATCATTTTCGGTAACAACATTGGAATATTGAAACATTAGTATTTCGTACAAGATAAATGCAGCAGATGAAAATTGACCGGGGTAAGTTATGCGCGTAAACATATATTTTTAACGAATCTACTATTCGGTGGATCACGTAACTCATACGGACGAGAGCGAAACATGACAAACGTCGTGTTCGAGGCTCGCACTTTTCCAACACACCACGTTCCTACACGAGGTCGTTATTTGACATATAAACCATGAAATAAATGGCCGAGCGAAATAACAGTACCCTTGGACTAATGTCGGTCGTGTAGATTAAGCGACACGGATAATCATAATTATATACCGCTCTCGTATGGTTTCAACGTGAAACACCTACCTGTACTCGGGTACACGGTGTGTTCCGCGCGTACATATTTTATTCGCGTGGGTGTATGCAGTAGCAAATTGATTAGTTGGTACAACCGCCATTCGTATGTTGATCGTATCGTTTCAAGCGCCGCAATAACGTTTTGTTTATCTTCGAAAGTGAGTTTTTTTTTCTTCATCAACTCCGAGCGCGGTTTTCGTGCAATAACAGCACAAGTGTACGTAAGATTTGGCGCATCGACTGTGCCGAGGACGATAATCTTAACGCGTACCGACGTCTAACGTCCAGGCCTACATTCAGTGGGATGGGGGGAAGATTCTAGCGGTACAAGCTCAGACGTGGAGTACTTGTACGTACACATATACACATACGATTAAAATATCCTCTCGGTCGGTAAGTAATCCTGAATATATCAATCCGACTTTTGCACAAGTAATGCGCGAGTTTCCCGAGAAAACATGCTACATTTGTACGCGCCTACCGCGGACAGACAACGAACAGCGTAAAAGCGATTTCGTCCTGTAGAAAATATTCCTGACTACGATGGGTGCAATCCCACGAACGCTGCACGCTAAACTACAGAGCCGTAACCAGGGTGAGGCGAGCGAGGCACTTGGGCGCCTGAAGCTGGGTGTGCAAAATAATTAAATAATTAAATTATTTTAAGAAATATTATTTTTTGTTTTGCTAGAAACCTAATTACAATTTTTCAGATTTTTCCGAATTATTTTATACATACTAAAAGCTGTGAGTGTGATAACCCTAAAACCTAAGGGGCGCATTGTTTCAGTTCTGCCTCAGGATAAAAAATGCTCGGTACGGCTCTGCTGAACTACAGCTAATGCATGCACTATGTACAGTGTTAAGTGAAAAGTACCAACCCGAAACCGTGGAGATGCAATGCACCGTTATCGTGATTATTACTATCGTACGCACACGGAGTGATCACTGTTCTTCAAAGCACAGTCAGTATACCGTCCCGGAGTCGAGACCATAATGACATTCGAGTACACGCTGTATACTTGATGTATATTATACATTATATACGCCGTGTTTCGCGCTGCATGTATAGTTTTTGTCCCGCATGAACGTGTACAATTTATTTTTCAGTACGGCTGAGTAAAGTTTTAACGAGATTTCTACTCCGAAACAATGTTGACGGTTAGTGTTGGTAGAACGTACATCGGTTTCCCGGAGACGGCAGAGGATTATGAAAGGTCGACTACTCGACAATAGGCTACCTTTGTTTACTGGGCACGGCGAGACAAAGTTGTGAATGAAAATGGCTGAGGGCAGATCGACGCGGTAGTTCATTGGAAAATTCGAACCCTAATACATAATCATAACTCGTACACAATAATGCGTAATTAAATAATATTTAAATTGTTCGAAAGTCTCGTACAACTAGAACAAATTATTGTGAAATGATAAAGTTTCATCGGTGCCCTATATTTGTATATTTAGAAATTGGATTACGAATTATAGCTTTCTGGGCTAGTTACGTACACGGCTTTCTGCGGAGTGAAATTCGTCCGTAGATATTTTTCGATCAGTCATGTTCTAATAAAACGACAAGAAAAAAAAATGAGTGGAACAATACGTTACGTTTTCAAGCCATTTCCGTCCCCTCTGCTTAATACCATAGTTGCGTTCAACAGTAATCAAAAATATTGTAATTGAATTGCTCAACTGGTAAAACAGTATGCGGTGTACGTACAAACATAATTACATTCATGCATATAAATAAGTGGCATTTTATGTAAACGAGGAAAAGCTAAATAAATATAACTATAATATTTTTATTTTCAATTAATTGTTATGAATTTGCCGAACATACTTGATACATAAAAAAAAAAATAATAATATTAGTAATGAGACGACGAAATTCAACAGTAATGGTTCTCTGCCGTTGAAGTGCTCGCGTATGTCACTTTAGACCAGAAAACCATGATTACGGATCGACGACGTGTCGTCGGATATCGCACCAGCGCAAAAAGGGTTGACACCATCAGGACAACGAACGCGGGACGGGATGGAAACGTGCGGTCAAAGTTATCTGCGCTCCGCTCGGGGACCCTGACCGCAGACGCAGACGTCACCGGGAGATTTATGAACAACGAACGATGTAAACGTATTATGACGAATCGA